ACACACTCTAGAGCTTTGCTAGCCACGTGTGCTCCTCAGACCATCAGCATCAACATGACCTGGAAAGAGCCTCTTACAGATGCTGAATCTGCCTCACCCCCGACCTACAGAGTTAAAACCTACAGGATTTCCAGGTGAGTCTTACACACATTAAAATTTGAGACATTCTGCTCTAGTCTAAAGCAGTGATTCCTGAATTTGTTTATGCATTGGAATCTGATGGAGACCTTTAAAAACACATCTGGATTCCAGCCCCAGAGAACCTGATGTAATTGGGATTCACCCTGGGCACTGGGTTTCTATAGTTCCCCCTGACATTCCAATGTGCAGCCAAGGTTGAGAACTACTGCTCTGGATTAATCATTCTTAAAAGGGTTGTTTCCGGCTTCTTTCCTTTGCATATTCCAATGCCTATATAAGAGCCAGTATAATATAACGGTCAAGAGCCCAGTTTGGGGACTAAACACCATGGTTTTGAATTCAACCTGTCACTGATCATGTGACCTTGGGAAAGTTATTTAATTTCTATGTGCTTCAGTTTCTCTAGATGTAAATGGGAATAACTATCTCATACGATAAGAGTTTTCATCAGTCAGGGTTCAACTAGAGCAGTGGAACCAGACAATATATAGTAAATAGATTTTTTACAAGCAATTGGCTTATGTCATTGTGAAGGCTGATTATCAAGTCCAATGTCCAGAGTGCAGGTTGTGAGGAAGGGAAAATCACAAGCAGGCTGCAGCCTCAGGTCACAAGTTTTAGCTTTTCCTCGGGCATTTCTTAACTTAGGGAAGCCTAAAGCCTCATTTGAAGGTCTTTAAGCTAATTAGATCATGTCCATCCAGCATAATATCCTTTTTGATGAATTTCAAGTCAACTAATTATGGATCTTAATTGCACCTGCCAAATCCCTTCACATTAACATAAAGATTAGTATTTGATTGAAATATTGGTGCAAGATGTATATGCTACAAAATGGTCACTGCCTCTTTTTCCTCTTCTAACTCTCTAGGGACTACCCCTTGTAGCCTGCCCTAACTGGAAAAAGGATTCCTTAGAAGGGAATCCTTGGATGGTAGTTGCACCTAGTCAAGTTGATACATGCAAGGCCATGACAGAGTTAAGTACCTTACCACATTTACCTCACTGAAGACAGTTCCTCTCTCAAATTAGCATTTAATACATGTGATTATTGCCCTTATTAAAGCCATAAAAGTTTAGTTAGTCAAAGATTCTTATATAAAGTGTTTGTTCATATACTACATTTTGATATGGTCAAGTCTCAAATTCAACTTTATATTGGCTTACACTATAGCCAAGATACATTTTCATTCCTACATAAAAATAGGTTATTAGTCACCAAAATGTCAGAGATACTTGATATGCAGTAAGAAATCTTAACCTAAAACCTTTAAGAATTCAGGTAAAAACATATCTTCAAAAACAAAATGCAGGTCCAAATGTCTCTACAGGAAGGAGTTCTTAACAGCAGTGCTATTCTGAATCGAAATCTACTTGAAATTTTTATAAAGTAAACGTACTCTTGGCTAGTATTCCTGAAGAGTATCAAGGTAATGGAAAATAATGAAAAACAGAAAAACTGACACAGAACAGGGAAGACTGAGGAGACATGACAACTAAATGCAAAGTGGCATCCTGGATGAGATCCTGAAACAGAAGATGAAGTAGTAGAAAAACTGATGAAATCTAAATAAAGACTGTAGTTTAGTGAATACTAACATACCAAAGTACCATTGAAATCAAAGGCGTTAACAATGGGGGAAACAGAATGAGGGCTACATAGGAAATATCTGTGCTATCTTTGCAACTGCTCTATAAATCAGAAATTATTCTAAAATAAACAAAGTTACTTAAATAATAAACCTGGGATGCACCCCACCCCATGAATATTTTCTTTCTAGTTTTGACATCCAGGTATATGTGCATCGAGAAAGCTCTCACTGATTGTGAAGCAAATCTCAGGGTGAAGACCATCTCAAGCTTCACTTCTGAGAGAATAGATTATTATCCCAATTCTTGTTATAAAATCATTCCTTCAAGAAACACAGGATACACTAGGGACGAGAGCAATGCATGCCCAGGTTCCTTGCTGGCCTCCCTCAGACTCTGACTAAAAGCAGCAGACTCCTAGGAAATGGGAGATTAGACTTTCATTCTTTGCCCTTTCTTGAACTGTGAAAGATCCCCTCAGTTTCATGATCTCAGAACTTAATTATTGAGCAAGGTAACTCCATTTCCTGTCTGGCAGATTTTGATGTACTGATTCTATGGCTTTCTGCTCATCTTGTCTTCCTTCCAGAAATGTGGGAGTAAAGGAGCTGGTGGCTTTCAGACTTCCAGGCCTCCAACATGCCAAGATCAAGAAGGATTCCACTTCCACAGACCACTCATCCTCAGAAGACTGTGGAATGCCTGTCCTGGTGCTTAGTTTGAATTGTTGAAAGATCATCTTTATGGCAGAAATGCTGTACCACTTCACTTGGTAAGGACCTTGGGTTTCAAGCCAGTTTACTCTTTTCTGCTGTACTGTGAGCATGAAAGCCACCTATAGATATGTCCTCAGGCAAGATTTTGACATCAGAGCCAAAATAAGAATTTAGAAAGAAAAGAAAGAAAGGGAGGGAGGAAGAAGGGAAGTTTGGTCCAGGAAAAAAAAATGCAGTGTAATTTCTGATCAACTAAACAGCATTTGAAAAGTCTGTCTATCCCCATATACATATATATGTATATGTATACACATATATATGTATGTACATATACATATGTGTGTATACATATACATGTATATGTATGTATATACGTATACGTATATACATATACATGTGTATGTATATATGTATACGTATATACATACATATACATGTATATATGTATATGTATACACACATTTATTTATATACATATATACACACACTATATACCTCCTAAATATACATATTTATATATACATACATATACACATCACATACACACACAGAAGTGCTAATCTCTCTACACATAAGCTACTGAGTCATCTCATAAAGCACAAAATTACTGTTAGGATATTTGAGAATTTGTTCACTCGTTCATTCATCAATCATTCATTCATTCATTCATCAAATAATACTGAGTACTACTAGGTGCCAAGAACTGTTCTTGGAGCTGGGGATATAATAACTAGACAAAGTTTCTATCCTCGCAAGAATTTTGATACTACTAAATAACATTTATTAAATATGTACTAAATGCCAGTTACTGGACTATATAATCACTTTACAAGTATTATACCATTTATTCTTCATAGCAACCCTATGAGGAGATAAAATTATTACTCCCATTTTTCCAGATGAGAACCCTGGGGCTTAGTAAGCTCAAATAACTTATCCAAGGAACGTGATAACACACACATTTTAATCCAGGGAGGGTAATTACCTGAACTAGCACAATAGGGCACACCTAGTGTTAGATGTCAACTGTTAACCTATCCTGCAATGGCATAAAGTGCTGACTGGAACAAAGCAAATGTAAATATTGCTCTCTTTACTCCAATGTGGAAGGATTCTCCAGCTTGCTTTCTTGGCCCCCTCTCCCCTCATCTTCTGGGTCTAGGAAGAGGAGTGCCCTTCCCTCGCACTTGTCCCTCATTCTTCATTTCTTCCTCTCTCATTCCTGGAAAGGGAACAGCAAGGAGGAAATTGCCGTTCCATCCCACGCACAGCTGTTGCAAGAAAGCTCTGGCAGGCACTGAGCTCTCCCAGAAGAGGGAGTCCAGGAGGAGCCATTCCCTGCTCCTTCTCATGGTTCCCCATTTTTGGATGAGCTTTATCCAGAGGCCAACTGTTATGTGCAGCTCAAGGTCTGGCATTAGCTCCCAGTCACAACCCAAACAGTGCTCTCTGTCCCAGGTAGAGATCCAAGGACCCGAGGGAAGGCAGGAAGACATGTCTAAAAGAGGAAGCGGAGAAAATGCTGGACTGCACTCTCTGAGCAACAGCCCTTGGAGACACCCCAAGAGACAGCTGCCCAGCTGGCAAGGTTTGTGTCAGGCAGCTGTGTACCCAGGAACAGGGGGCAGTACACATACAGCAGAGCGGACCCACACCATCTGTCACACACCCATGCCAGCATCTTCACTTCAGGCTACTTGGAAGTGGGAGGCGTCAGGAGAGAAGTGACAGCTCACCAAGCCAGCCACATGCCATGGCTCCCCTCTAACAATCTCTTTCTTTAAACATTTAGACTCCTTCACCACTGCCATATGGCAGTTGCCAGTGGATATGCTACCATAATTAAGAGTATGCAATTTGGAGTCAAAAAGCTCTAGGTTTAAATTCAGGTTCTCCATGTGCAAGTGTGGGTGACATGAGTAAATTACTTAACCACCTGTCTTTGAACATCAGTTTCCTCTTTTGTAAAATGGGAGTTATAATAATTACCCCTCAACGTAGTTGTGAGGATTAAATTTGATATCTGTTAAGAGCTAAGGGCAGGGCTTTGAAAAACCAACAACGTAATAGGCAATAAGTAAAACGAAGCCTTTTCTATGCTGAGTCAAGTCCCTGACTACAAAACAATCTTCTTTTGTAAGTGGTAGGTCTTCTACCTCAGTTGTGGAGATGAAAAGAACAATAGTCTCAGCACACTTTAATGTGCATTCAGAGGTCCTGGGAACCTTGGGAAAGGCAGATTCTGATTCAGTAGGTCTGGAGTGGGGTCCAATAAGTTCTCAGAGGTGTGGATGGTGCTGGTCTAAAGACAGCATTTCAAATAAGTTCTCAGAGGTGTGGATGGTGCTGGTCTAAGGACAGCACTTTGCACAGCAAGAGTCTGGAAAACCAGCTGCAGTACCTTGAACAAACTCTTTAAGCTTTGATTTTCTCAGATGCAAAAATTTAAAAGTTTACCTAGATAATTTCATATACATTCCTTCCCTGCTACCATGTTGTGATAGATTGTCTGCAAAAAATGGCTGCCAACAGTTCCCCCAACCCTTCTGCTACATGACTTTGTCCCTCCTTCCAACAAGAGAAAGAGCTCTTTTCCTTGAATCTGGCTTGTCCTATTGCTTGTTTGGATCAGGAGAGTATGACAGAAGTAAAATTTTGTGACTTCCAGTCCTATGCTTTAGAAAGCTTGGCAGCTTTCCTTTTCTATTTTTTTATTTTTTGCCTTCTTGGCATCCATCCAGCTTCCATGTAAGGAAGCTCCAGCCAGATGACTGAAAAGGAAAAGAGAATTATCCATCCAGCACTCAGCTCTATTAGGCACTGCAGCTGAGATGCCAGACACGTGAGCATAGTTCTCTTGGATATTCCAGCCACAGTTGACTACCCAGCTTTATGTAGCCACACAAGAAACCCCAAATGCAATTTCATGCAGCAAATGAACCACACTGCTGAACTCATCCACAGAATTCTGAGAAATAATAAATTTTTGTTGTTTCAAGCCATTATGTCTTAGGGTAATTTGTTATACAGCAATTAATAGCTGATATACATGTTCTGCTCACATAGTAAATAATAGAAATTTTTAAAGCCACAACACTTGGAAGAATTATAAAGAAATATGCTTATTAACTGGAGGGCTGAATATATGCTGAGAACTGACTTTTATATTTACATAGTTCTTAGTGAAGATCTCTCTTCTGTATTAAATTCAATCATTCAGACAGTCTCCAACTTACCATGGTTCAATTTACAACATTCAGTATGCTCCTGGACTTATAATGAGGTTATGTTCACATAAGCCAATTATAAGTAAAAAATGCACATTTGACTTAACAGCATTTTCAATTTATGATGGGCCTTTAAAGATGTAGCCCACTGTAAGTTAAGGCGCACCTATTTGTTCAGGGCTAGTGGGGAATGTGAGAAGTTGGAGATGTAATTCCAAGAAACTTGCATTATATTTGGGAATGCTACAGTGTATATTACAAAAAAACAATTAGAGAACACATATCAATTAATAACAGTGCACTAAACATATATTTAAGACTCACATTATTTTAGTATCAATAATAAAATTCTGTGGATGCCTAGAAGGTACTCAGTAACTGTATCCCAGAATTAGAGGACAGTTTAATAAAAAAGTACAGGCATACCTTATTGTATTGCTCTTCACTTTGCTGTGCTTTGCAGATAGAGAGTTTTTGCTTTGTTTTGTTTTGTTCACAAATAATGGCTTGTGGCAACCCTGCATTGAGCAACTGTATCAGCACCATTTTTCCAATAACATGTGCTCACTTCATATCTCTGTGTCAGATACTGTTGGTATTTTTTTAGCAATAAATTGTTTTTAAATTAAGGCATGTATATTGGATTTTTAGAAATAATGCAACTGTACACTTAATAGACTACAGTATAAAAATAAATTTTGTATATACTGGCAACCAAAAAATTTGTGTGACTCACTTTATTGTAATATTTGTATTCTTGTAGTGGTCTGGAACCAACGCCAAGGTATGCCTGTATAATTTAAACCTGGATAAATGAGGGAGTAAAACGAAGTATATAATGGTTGAATCATGGTGTTCAAATTTTCTATATAAAAATGAAACAGTCCTATTGACAAATACATTCTAGAAAGTCTCAGAAGTCCTTTATACAGAAGATAATTTTAGATAGGTCTTTTAAAATTATTTTTGTTATGGCACACATAATTTCACTGAATTAGTAAATTGTAAGGACACAAAATATTGTAAAATATATGCTATAGAAATATAAAAAGTAGAATTTCAGAGTCAGGTAAAAATTGTGAAGATGTAGTGTTAAAGCCAAAAAATAACAACATAGGACACTTGAAAAGTATACACAAAGTAAAATTTGGGAAATAAATGTAAAGGATTTGTTGTACATACTGATCATCTTTAGCCCTCTCATCCACACCCTAGTTATAATAGGTTTTGTTTGGAAAATATTTTCTAAGTAATTTCTATTGATAATGCGCAACCTCAGAATTAAAATTTTCCAATAATAGTCCAATAAAATGAGTTCAATGGTTAAGAATAAGATGTAAGAAAAAACAAAATTATACTAGTTTTTATAATATTCTGTATACATATTTCTGTAAAAAAATTCTGCCTTTACATACAATTTTTTAAATGTACTGGAAAATAAACCCATTTTTTAGCACAGGAAATTAATCTTGTAGGTAACTTCTCCAAACTCCATTTATCTATGTTATCATTTTGCTACCTCTTTTTATGAAAACTCAGGAGAGAAGAACACAATTCTGATATACTGGTACTGTGAGACCTCAGAATAATACCCGTTTTAAATGGAAGTTCCAACCAAAAATCATGGTTGAATGTTCAAATATTCTCAGAGAGACAAAAGACTAGTTTAATAATGGTATAATACCACCTTCCTACCAGCATATAGGTCGGCCTGGGTACACAGTTAGCATTCAATTAAGTCATTAAATAAATCTGTCCCATGTGTAACTGGCTGGGGCCAGTGTCACAGGCAGAAAAATAATTTACCAAGATAGTTGTAGGTACAGACAGGTAGATTTATTAAAGAAAGTAGAAACATGTTGCAAGGGTGCAACGGGTAGCACAGCAAAGAAGGGGCTGTCTGCCAAAAGGCAGAAGCTGGAGGGAAGTTTTATAGGTTTATACTAGAAGGGCTACGTGCAGATAATGTGTGCAGATAAGGTCCTGCTGCTGGGGCTACATGTGGAGAGAGGTATATGGGAACAGGGTGTCGTGCCAGTGGGTTGTCTGTGATTAGCCGTGTCTCAGAACAATTGTCTCCCTGACCTAGGGCCCCTTCCTTGTTGTTGCTTACTTATCTAATTAGAACTCCACAGGATGAATGTCAATGCATGCAAGCTTTTTCAAGGATAGCCTTGGATAGACGAGAAAAAAAGAAAATACAGGACTTTTTCTCAATCCATTGCAGTTATATCTTCCTTGAACATTCTTTCATCTATTCCTTTAAGAATGAAGTTAAAAGGCCAGTATTAAAAAAGTTAGAGTAACCTAAAATTAGAATAAAGGGATGTTCTTTGAGTACTTATATCTTGGTGGGGAAAAACAAACAATAAACACATGAATAAATGCATAAGAATGCTAGATGACTGTGAGAATGCTGAAGAAAACTAAAGCTGAGTCAGAAGAGTGGTGCGCAGGAACAGCATTTAGCTAAGGTCATCAGGAAAGGTCCCTCTGAGAAGAGTACATCTAAGCGGAGACACGAAGGAGACAGCATTCCAGAGAAAGAGAACAATTAGTACAAAAGTTCTGAGTCAGAAAGGGTGGTTGGTATTAAGACATGATTATCAGATTTTTTAAAAATAATATAATTAAATGGAGAAATAAAATAAGCAAAAAAAATAAACAAAAAATAAAAGTCACAATTATTGGATCTGGCTTTATGTGTGTAGAGTATGTGAGCACCTTCCTCACTTTAGGTAGGGGTTTGAGTTCTGTTTTAGGAAGGCGAGATGTTCTTCCCGGGCAAACACATTAAAGACACAGAATTCCTAACCCATTAGCTTCAGACCCCTGGGAGAATTGTGTTAAATCCAGTCAGCAATTATCTGTAATACTGGATAACAATCTCCACCTGAGAGTGAGCTTTGAAAGGGCAAAGCACAGTCACTGTCAGAGAAGGGTCCTTCAGGTACATATTGAATTGCCTGGGGAAAGACCTTCTGACATCTCTGTTTGCTTTTGAAAGCACTGGCTTTGTGCTTTGTAATCAGGAAAAAAAATGGTTTGTCTAAATCGATCTCCTCTCTGTAATTTCAACATATATCCCCACTGTTTCCTTCTAGAAATGCACTTTATGAGACAGAAGACTTCTCAGTTGTCACCTTAAAAATCTTCAGAAATTTGGGGCACATATTGGGAAAATTATGAATAAGTAGTAAAAATTAAGGGGTTTGAATCATCAATTACCATTTGTTGCACCTTCTTGATTTTTGTAGGAAAAGCCGAGAAACTAACAAATATGATTCCTTGGGGGCATGTGCAGCCCTGCAGAATAAAGCATGCTCTACTCTGGGCATCTCCCAGGGGCACCATGGTATATATCTGAGCCACAAAAAGTGTAGATGGATAATCAATAGCATAAATGAGCCTTAATAAGATTTTGCTTTATTTGGGTATACATTCAACTCAAAGCTTTGAAATAATAGCTTTCATGCACAGTTAATTTAATAAGGTCAATTCAATAGAAACAACCTATGGGTCTGTGCTGCTAAACCTTCCCTTTTTGGGCAAGGGGATCACATGCCTCTGAGAAACTGAAAAAAGCAATGGACCCTTTCCTCCAGGAAAATGCTTAAACATATATAAAACTGCATTAAGTATGGATGAGTTCATGGATCTCTTAGATTAGTGAAGCCCCCTGTCCTAGAGACAATGGAAGATAAAGAATGTAACAATAGTAACATCTCAGGTCTATACGGCACTAGGAAGAGTCCTAATTTTACACCAAAGCAGGGCATGTTAACACAATGGCTATTTTCTTTAACATTTAAAAAACGTTAATTGTGATAAGATATACATAAAATGTATCATCTTCACCATTTTTTAGTGTACAGCTTAGTAGTGTTAAACATTTTCACATTATGCAACCAATCTCCAGAATGCTTTTTAACTGAAATGCTACACCCACTAAACAACTCCCCATTCTTCTACTCCTCAGCCCTTGCCAGTCACCATTTTACCTTCTGTGTCTATGCATCACACTACTCTAGATACCTCATATAAGTAGAATCATATAGCACTTTGTCTTTTTGTGATGGGCTTATTTCACTTAGCATAATATCCTGAGGGTTATTCCATTGTATGAATATATTACATTTTACTTATCTATTTATCCACTGGTGGACACTGGGCTTCCTCTACCTCTCGGCTGTTATAAGTGATGTTGCTGTAAGTATGGCTGTACAGATATTTCTTTGATATCCTGCTTTCAATTCTTTTGGATAATATACCTACAAGTGGAATGATACAACAGTTTTGGTGCATCCATTTTGATGGGCCCATTAGATGCCAACGAACATTATGACTAAGCAATTATGAGTCAGGATCCTTGTCAAAAGGGCCCACCAAAATGTGAAATATGTGTTTTATTACAAAGTTATACACATGATAGACACCCCTGACCCTTATTCTATATTTAATCTCTCCTCTACTATGCAGATTTCACTTTCTACTTTATTCATGTCAGTATTTTAAAAATTTTTTATAAGAATGAACTAATTTTATAATAAAAAGATAATAAAGCTGTTTTTAAATCTGTTAGAACTAAGTCCCAAAAGGGATCTCAAACTATCTCTCAAAACCATAAATTCAAAGGAAATGTATAATATGAATATTGGTGAATGAATTATATATATGTATATATGTGTGTGTGTATATGTGTGTGTGTGTGTGTATATATATATATATATATATATAGTCATTCTAAGCTGAGTGATTGCTCAGTCTTAAGGATGTCATGAACACCTTGAATAAATGGTCTACATCTCATGTTAATTAGTTTCAAAGAGATATCTGTACAGCCATACTTATAGCAACATCATTTATAACAGTCAAGAGGTAGAAGAAGCCTAACTGTCCATTATATATGTATGTATATGTGTGTGTATATGTATATATGTATACATATACACACACATATTAATTCCTGTTCATATATACACACACATGCATACACATATGCACACATACATTAGAAGAACAGTTAGGAATTTAAGACTCTGTACAGTGTGGCACAGAAAATAAAAGCATATAAATTTCTCCTCCTCCTTCCCCTGAACATCCAACATAACACTGATCAATAAAACTGAGTATAACCAAAACACCTTCAAAAGAGCAGAGATGTCTATCCCCTCAATTATCAAATGGAAAGGGAAATATTTTTGAGTAAGTGTAATTATTTATTGAATATAAACAAGTAGAAACATCATAATTTTAAAGATAAAACTAATTAACATGAGATGTAGACCATTCATTCAAGGTGTTCATGATGTCTCTAAGAATGAGTAATCACTCAGCTTAGAATGACAAAAGGTCCTTTATGAGCAGAGAACAAGGTTAGCACATGAATCCCTGTCATGGGTTCTTTGCCTGCCAGATGGTGCTTATACCCTACCCATCCCAACTCCTGATCCCACCTTCTCCCGACTCCATCACAGGGGAGATGAGGCCCTAGGATGAAGAAAGGACATCCATTTGTTTATTTCCTGGTTATCAGAACAGCTGGAATTTTAATGCTTTGTTCTGGGGCCACATTAATACAGTGGCATCACTAGGTACCTGAGTTGCAAGAACTCTTAACAACACAGCCGCATCAAAATTGACTCAAAAACCGTCTGAATTATCACAAGTCAGACACAATAACTTGGCCTATGTCATCTCGAGCCAGTGTGGATTCAGGGCATCAGAAACCAGCTTCAAAACATATGTGCTATGGAAGTGTCCTTGACAATTACTTTACAGCTCTGCCTGTGCATACGTACTGAAAGATTCAATCTTCTTAGCAGCGTAGAATTTGCTTATAGCTGTTCTCAAGCACCATGGACCATTTACAAAGTGCATAGGGGTGATCTCTCCTTGTAGATTCAAAATGTTTTCAGAACAGGGACTAGATCTACTATTTATTTTCCATCCCCCCTAGTAATGCTTTACATGTCAGAGAAATTTGTTAATTTTCAGACAATCTCCTCAAGAAATATTAGAGAGCCTTTTACCAGAATGGCATTAAAAAAACAAGTATGGGTAAATGAGCACCCTGAGATTACGGCATTAGCTAGATACATCTCTCTTCACATGTAAGGACCAGATCCAATGGCAAATCATTGAGAACTAAGGTGAAAGAAATAGATTATTTAACCAACATCTAAGTTTCCAATTTCTGTCTTTGTGCCAATGATCCCCAATTTATATTTGCAGCCCAGACTACTCTTCACAGCTACCATCTACTTATTAGGTGTTGTTAACCTGGATGTCTCAGAAGTCCCTCATACTAAAAATTTGCCAAAGCTCAGCTCATCTGGCCTCTAAAATATCAGCTCTATAAAAGCTGGGCTTTTGTTCCATTCATTGCTGGATCCTGAAGGCCTAGAGTAGTGCCTGGAAGACAGCAAGTGCTCAATAAAGAGTGTTTGAATGAATTAATGATGGATAAATGAATGAAGGGACCTCCCCAAAAGACAGTCTTCCATTAAAGCCATATATGTTGCCAGAGAGTTCTCTAGCACTTGACAGTTAAGACCAAACCCTATACCTCTTCCTATTACTTCATCCTTCCAGCCTCCTCTTTTTGATAAAATCACCCTCTCTGATGCCTCATTCCTGGGAGCCCCTAAATATGCTCATAATCTAATGCAGGTTGAATATTTCTTATCCAAAATTCTTGGGACAAGAAGTGTTTTGGATTTCAGATATTTTTCAGATTTTGGAATATTTTCATATGCATAATGAGATATCTCAAGAATTGGACTCAAGTCTAAACACGAAATTCAATTCGCTTGTAAGTAATTTTACATGATATTTTAAATAATTTTGTGCATGAAGCAAAATTTTAACCATGTTTTGACTGCTACCTGTCACATGGGGTCAGGTGTGGAATTTTTCACTTGTAGCATCATGTCAGTGTTCAAAAAGTTTCAAATTTTGGATTTTCAAATTAGGGATGCTCAAACTATATCATACAACAAAATGCTCCTTTATTATACAAGGTCTTCTATAAATCTGTTCACAGTCTCACTTTGCCAGCCTCACTTACACTTTATACTATTATAGTCTTGAGTGCCTTAGAGTTCCCAACTCACACCTCACTCTTTCACTCCTCTGTACCTTTTTCAGGCAAGGAATGACTTACTGAAATGTCCTCCCCTCCACTGGAGAAGCCCTCTCTTGGTTATCTCCTCTTTACCCTTTAATTCCCAGTGCAGGTGTTGTCTCCTCTATGAAGTCTTTCCCTGGGAATCCCCCCTCCCAGTCTGCCAGGCAATATATTCATCTTCTATGTTCTCACAATACACTATGCCAGGACTCCTTTCAAACATTTTTATATCTTGGCACACATAGAAAATGGTTGAGGGTAGACAAGTCTGTGCATGGCCACAAGCAACTGGCCTGGGTCTCTGGCATCCACAAAGCTTGTGCAACAACATCTGGGTACTTTTGTAACCCATTCGTTGCATAGCAGCATGGCATGTCAAGCTGGTTGGTAGTTTTTTGTATGCCTCAGTCTTAATCACTACATTCACTCCATTGTATTATGCTTATTTATGTTTGCGTTTTTCCCTTACTGGACCTATAAGCTCTTTAAGGGCAAGAAACTTATATTCTTATTTTTCATGTTTTAAATGACCATACAATAAAACGGACTTTTGAGGATGCACAGTCCCATAAATTTTATCACATGTATATGTTTGTGCAACCATGACTAAAATCAAGATACAGAATATTTCCATCACTCAGGGTGCTGACACAACCTCCTCCAACTCCTAACCCTTATCACCCACTGATCTTTTCTCTGTCACTATAGCTTTGTGTCTTTGAAAATGTCTTATAAGTGGAATTGTACAGCATATAAACTTTTCAAACTGGCTTCACTTGGCCAATGCCTTTGACAATCCAATTTGTTGTGTGTATCAATAATTTGTTTCTTTTTATTACTGAGTAGTATTCCATTGTCAGAATTTAACATAGTTTGCTTATCCATTCAACCACTGAAAGGTATTTGGGTTGTTTCCAGTTTGGGGCAATTTTGATAGATTTGTTGTAAACATTCATGAGAGGGTTTTGTGGGAATGTAAGTTTTTATTCTTCTAGAGTAACTACCCAGGGATGGGATTATATAGGCATTATGACAAATGTACTGTTAGCCTTATGAGAAACTGCCAAACTATCTCCAAAGTGATTGTACTATTTTGCCAGTAGATTGTACTGGTGAAGAATGAGAGTTCCAGTTGTTCCACATCCTTGCCAGCATTTGGCATTGCCAGCATTTTTATTTTAGCCATTCTCATAGGTGTGATATGGTATCTCATTGTAGCTTTGTATTTATCTTTTTACTCCAGCATTTTGCAGTGTGGTAGGTTCTCAGCAAATATTTGCTGAACTGAAATACACTCATCTCATTGTTTTGTCTCATTTAATAAACCCACTAATAATAAATTCAAGGCCAGGCACAGTGGCTCATGCCTGTAATCCCAGCACTTTGGGAGGCCAAGATGGGCAGATCCCTTGAGGTAAGGAGTTCAAGACCAGCCTGGCCAACATGGTGAAACGCTGTCTCTACTAAAAATATAAAGATTAGCCAGGTGTGGTGGTGTGCTCCTGCAATTCCACCTACTTGGGAGGCTGAAGCACAAGAATCACTTGAAACTGGGAGGCAGAGGTTACAGTGAACCGATTGCAACACTTCCAGCCTGAGTAATGGAGTGAGACTGTCTCTAAATAAATAAATTCAATTATCACTATACTTTCTACTAAGCTTTGTGTTAGCGGAAAAAAAATTGCACAGGATGGAAGTATTAAACTCTGTTTCATCATGCTGTACTCACTCCTTTTTCCCAAGTCCTAAATGAATCATTCTTTCTATAAGGATATATAGGAATACAGTATATAATTTTCACTCAACAAACGGAAATTGAAGACATGCAAACAAGAGCTTTTGAAAGTCTCTATTCTTACTGCTAATAGTACTAACCATAAGAATCACTCACCATCAATAACTAGATAATTGGATGTGCCAGGCACTGTGTTAGGAGAAATTCCTATAGTAACTCACTTATTCCCACAATCCAATGAAGTAGGTATTATCCTCATTTTAGAGATGTGGGAATTAAGGTTTAATGAAGATGACAAACTTACCCAAAGTTATATAGCCAGTAAGTGAAGACTGTAGGGTGCATACGAGATCAAACTGGTTTCAGAAAACGCAGTCCTAACCATTCCCTGTACCTGCTTTACTGAGCAAAGGAACTAGCTGCTCTTTAATCAACAGCAAAACAACAAAAACAATCTCAAGTCACTTTAATTTTGAAGAGTTATAAAACTTTACAAAAGCAAACCTCTCTCTTTACTTGAGTCTTACGATTATAGCTCCTTCAAATCAGCCATGAGGCATACAGATGGAAGAGCATGGAGACTCCCAGTCTGGGAAACCTCAATTGTTCTATTGGAAGACAGACGAAAAATGTTAGATCTTATTCTTATGAAGTTAACAGCATGAGTAGGACTTAGCTGAGCAAACTGGACTAGCATCACCTGTGGCTCTATGAGAATTATCCCTCCCCATTGAATCTTGAACTACATTTACGTAGTTCTATACTTGAAAGTGTCCTCCACTGGAGACCTAAGCTGAAATTATAATAATAATGGTTCCCTTTGATATTGACTCTAAAAATAGGATTTTATATAGAATATAATATACTAACCTGGATAATATAATGACTATCAAATGATTAAGTGCATCCAGGGATAACAAAAACTTCAGTCTTTGGAGATATATATAGCACTCATTCTAATAGAAAAAATCACATTCAGACCTTTTACTAGATACATGCTGTGACCAACAGACTATTGAACTGGAATTCAGTGGTTTGACCTAGTATTTTCATTTAAAATATTTCTTACCTCTTTTATCACTTACTTCCTCACAAACCCATAAACAATATGCTTTAGTGAGCTTGAAGCCAAATCTATTTCTTTGAATGTTATTGATCAGGAAAGACAGGAGGCACAAATCCCAGGATCCTATGCCTTAACTGATGACTTTCCAGAGCCCAAATATTCAATCATTTCACCTTTCAAGTAAGAAATCAGGAGACAAATGTAGGTGCTAAAAAGGAAAGTCATCCAATGATATTATGTTGTAAGCCAACAGCTTTTAGGGATCATAGTAGCTAGTTCCAAATGTCAGACTCTTGTGTGTTTGAATCTCATAGAATAACATCAATTTCTAAATTTTCCTTACAGTGAACTGTATAACAAAAAGAGGTTTCATTTGCACTCATCTCAAAAGTTTTCTAGACAAATAGTGCCACCAAGTAATTATTGTGATGAAAAATTATGGTAACTCAAAAATATTTGGCTCAAAATCTCAAGTAGCAAAAGTCGAGGGCAATGAATTTTACCAATTTGGAGAGCTTCTCTTAGCCCGTAGCAGTTCCACTATATTTGGGTCTGCCCATAATGTTTATATTGCCCTGCTTAAACACTCAATAATCATAGAATCTACTGAAAGAATATGATCCAAACAAATTTATAAGCAGCTTATAATATACAGTGCCAGTGATTAATGAGAAAGCATTAAATAGCAGAATGACTGGAAATTTTCCAATCAGCATTCCAAAGTGTGCACATTACTGATGAATTTCTCATATTTCAAAGCTAGACAACCCCAAGAAAAGAATTACATATTTATATCAATCATAAGCCACTCAGCAGTAGTCTGAACTTTCTGTACAATTGTGATGTTTCTCAAGGGAGAAAAACTCATTTATCAAGACCATTGAACATAAAGAAACAATTAAATACAAACCAATTTGCATAGCCAACATAGTATTTTCTGTTGAAAAATCAAAACTTTTCATCCTGACAGATATATTTGTCACCGAGAAGATAGCATTTTTAAAAGAAAATAAACACAGCACACAATTCAATTCCCTTGCAAAAAGTGTAGCCAAAAGTTTACTGTGAATAACAGCCTATTATAATGCCATAGAAATGAACAAACAGCTAAAATCAGTTTCTCTTTTCCCAAAAGTGTCTGTGGACATTTATTCCTACAGAAATAAATGACCAAAGTAGTATACGTCTTTGTCCTTCTGTTTTACAGTATATTCCTGCCTTGCCTCCAATATTATTTTTTAAATTTTTGAATTGCCTGAACAAAACTCAGAAGGACTTAATCATTTTTCTCCAAAGGCATCGTTCTTGTGTAATTTTGAGACATAGCTTTCAATTCTTGTCTAAATAAATTCATCCTACTGAAAAGCACAAGCTCATCTTAGAAAGCAACAATAAGACCCCTGATAGTTTTTCCTTGAAGACCATTACTCACTGGCAAATATGTTCTCCTTCATCCTCAGCCGCCCTGCTGAAGCCCCAGGGACTGGAGAAGGTCTGCCAATTTTCTCCTTCAAGGTCCTCCTCCATGGTAGGAAGCCAAAACAGCCCACCTTTTCCTAAGGATGGAAAGAAAGAACCTATTCTTTATTCTTTTATAAGAAGAGTGATTGTATCATAACAAACAACTGCTATCCAAGAAGACTGAAAGAGGAAGGAGAGGAGGAATCGATGCTGAGAGGCCAATCATATTTCATCACTCAGCTACTTGGAAACCAGATATTCTTAAACAATCACATGCTCTGAGAGATTTGAGGATGCAAAAGAGGAGTGGCTCTGCCTTTTGTAAATTATTAACAGGGACATTTTTCCTGACCACAAGTAAAGATGTACAGACTACTCATTTCAGAACAAAAAGCAATTAGGTCTGACATGGAACATAAAAATGGACAAATCAAGAAGCAAGATCTCTGATCACAGTTCTGTGCTGACCCTCTGAATTAGGACAACCCAGTGAAGTTAGGATCAAACTGATATCACACTGGGAATGAAGGGGCACCTTCTGAACGGCTGAAGAGGCCATAACTGCAGCTTCAGCATCTGCTTCTGATGAAAATGTGTATTTGCTCCCCCTCATCTGAGAAGTCACGATGGGATATTTGGTGCTCTGAGCTGGAGTGAAGCCACCTGCACACAGTTCTCACATTGCTCCTAGATTTCAAATTGCTGCTTAACTTCTCCCGTGGCTTTCTTGTGTTTCATCCAAATTTGAGATTTAACACATCTACCTCAAAGCTATTTGAAAGTTGCCAATTTCAATGCTAGATCCTATCCAGTAATTTAAACTCAGTGAGAAAAAGCTGATCCAGAAAGCTTTTAGAAAGCATTAGCTTCCCATGCCATAGACAGAGGGCACTGGGAACACTCTTTTTGGTAATCTGGAATGACTCCTTTTCTCTAGACAAGGATCTCTCAACCTTGACATTATTGACTTTTTGGACTGGCTACTCCTTTGCTGTGGGAGGCTGACCTGTGCATTATAGGATGTTTAGTGGCATCTCTGGCCTTTACTCAGTAGACAGCAGTAGCATCTCCCCAGTTGTGACAACTAAAAATGTCTTCAGACATTGCCAAATGTCTCCTGGGAAGCAGAATCAACCCCAGTTGAAACCACTGTTCTAGACCTATTTCTTTAGTGAAGTTGTTCAAAACAGAAGGAATATCATTTACATTTGAGATGCGTTCATGCCAAAGACAAATTGTAGGTAAAGAGTCAAGGGTTTGGGTGAAACATGGGACTCATGTGCCCAAGTGCAGGTGGCCAATTTAGTTTGTCAAAATGGAGACACATTTAGTGTGGGGAAATAAGTCTCCAATGACATCTGCCAAACCTCTCACTGCTATAGTCTCCAAGTTCCCAAATCCTGCTATTTGGAATATGCTCATTTCTCCTCAGTTACATATTCTTTATTTTACCTTGGTATCTATCATCCACTGCAAGAAGGGTTTGTTCTGGAAAACTATGCCTAGTTGATTTTTGACAGCAAAACCAATCAAGGCAGAGATAATAAGGACATAAATCTCCTGCCCAATTGTGTAACCATTACCAACTGCAGGTGGGAAGTCTCCTAAAGAGCCTTAGATTCATGAAAAAAAAAAGAAAGAAAGAAAAGAAAGAAAAAAAAGGAAAAAATGTTCTTTTCAATTAAATACATGAACAACAGTGTATGTAAATTCAACACTGAGAAAATTAGATGGATTGTTTAAAAAGCAAAAGTCCAATTCAGCAAGTTTACAGGTGATGGTATCTCATTAAAAAGAATAACACACTCTATGCACACAAACCAGTAAATCTGGAAGAAATGGATAAATTCCTGGACACTTTCACTCACCCAAGACTAAACCGGGAAGAAGTTGAATCCCTGAAAAGACCAATAACAAGGGCTGAAGTTGAGGCAGCAATTAATAGCCTACCTAAATCCCAGGTCCAGATGGGTTTACAGCCAAATTCTACCAGACTTACAAAGAGGAGCTGGTACCATTCCTTCTGAAATTATTCCAAACAATACAAAAAGAGGGAATCCTCTCCAACTCATTTTATGAGACCAACATCATCTTAATACCAAAACCGGGCAGAGACACAACTAAAAAAGAAAACTTCAGGCCAATATCTATGATGAACATCGACGCAAAAATCTTCAATAAAATACTAGCAAACAGAATGCAACAGCAAATCAAAAAGCTTATTTATCATGATGAAGTAGGCTTCATCCCAGGGATGCAAGGCTGGTTAAACATACACAAGTCGATAAATGTAATCCATCACATAAACAGAACCAAAGACAAAAACCGCATGATTATCTCAATAGATGCAGAAAAGGCCTTCGACAAAATTCAACAGCGCTTTATGCTAAAAACCCTCAATAAACTAGGTATCCATGGTACATATCACAAAATAATAAAAGCTATTTATGATAAACCCACAGCCAATATCATACTGAACGGGCAAAAACTGAAAGCATTCCCTTTGAAATCTGGCACAAGACAAGCATGCCCCTCTCACCACTCCTATTCAATATAGTATTGGAAGTTCTACCCAGGGCAATGAAGCAAGAGAAAGAAATAAAGTGTATTCAAACAGGAAGAGAGGAAGTCAAACTGTCTCTATTCGCAGATGACATGATTGTATATATAGAAGACCCCATCATCTCAGCCCAAAATCTCCTGGAACTGATAAGAAACTTCAGCAAAGTCTCAGGATACAAAATCAATGTGCAGAATTCACAAGCATTTCTATAAACTGATAACAGACAGAGAGCCAAATCAAAAGTAAATTCCCATTCACAGTTCCTACAAAGAGAATAAAATACCTAGGAATACAACTAACGACGTATGTAAAGGACCTCTTCAAGAAGAACTACAAACCACTACTCAATGAAATAAGAGAGGACACAAACAGATGGGAAAACATCCCATGCTCATGGTTGGGAAGAATCAACATCATGAAAACGGCCATACTTCCCAAAATAATCTATAGATTCAACACTATCCCCATCAAGTTACCAATGACTTTCTTCACAGAACTGGAGAAAAACCACTTCAAGCTTCATATGGAACCAAAAGAGAACCAGCATAGCCAAAACAATCCTAAGCAAAAAGAACAAAGCCAGAGGCATCACACTGCCTGACTTCAAACTATTCTGCAAGGCCACAGTAATCAAAACAGCTGGTACCAAAACAGAGACATAGACCAATGGAACAGAACAGAGGCCTCAGAAGCAATACCACACATCTACAATCATCTGATCTTTGACAAACCTGACAAAAACAAGCAATGGGGAAAGGATTCCCTGTTTAATAAATAGTGTTGGGAAAACTGGCTAGCCAAGTGCAGAAAGCAGAAACTGAACACCTTCCTGACGCCTTACACTAAAATTAACTCCAGATGGATTAAAGATCTAAACTTAAGACCTAACACCATAAAAACCCTAGAAGAAAACCTAGGCAACACCATTCAGGAAATAGGCATAGGTAAGGACTTCATGGCTAAAACATCAAAAGCAATAGCAACAAAAGCCAAAATAGACAAATGGGATCTAATTAAACTCCAGAGCTTCTGTACAGCAAAGGAAACAATCATTAGAGTGAACCGGCAACCAACAGAATGGGAAAAAATGTTTGCAATCTACCCATCTGACAAAGGTCTAATAACCAGAATCTACAAAGAACTAAAACAGATTTACAAGAAAAAAAAAGCCCATTCAAAAGTGGGCAAAGGATATGAACGGACACTTTACAAAAGAAGACATTTATGAGGCCAACAAACATATGAAAAAACGCTCATCATCCCTGGTCATTAGAGAAATGCAAATCAAAACAACATTGAGATACCATCTCACACCAGTTAGAATGGCGATCATTAAAAAATCAGGAGACAACAGATCCTGGAGAGGATGTGAAGAAATAGGAATATTTTACACTGTTGGTGGGAGTGTAAATTAGTTCAACCACTGTGGAAGACAGTGTGGCGATTCCTCAAGGACCCAGAAATAGAAATTCCATTTGAGCCAGTAATCCCATTACTGGGTATATACCCAAAGGATTATAAATCGTTATAAAGACACAAGCACACATATGCTCATTGTGGCACTGTTTATAATAGCAAAGACCTGGAACCAACCCAAATGTCCATCATCAATAGACTGGATAAAGAAAATGTGGCACATACACACCATGGAATACTATGCAGCCATAAAAAACAATGAGTTCGTGTCATTCATAGGGACATGGATAAATCTGAAAACCATCATTCTCAGCAAACTGACACAAGAACAGAAAACCAAACACCATATGTTATCACTCATAGGCGGGTGTTGAACAATTGGAACATGTGGACACAGGGAGGGGAGCATCACACACTACAGTCAGTAGTGGGAAGCTAGGGGAGGGACAGCAGGGGTGGGGAGGGTGGGGAGGGATAATGAGGGGAGAAATACCAGATATAGGTGATGGGGGGATGAAGGCAGCAAACCACCTTGCCATGTATGTACCTATGCAATAATTCTGCATGATCTGTACATGTACCCCAGAACCTAAATTACAATTAAAAAAAAAAAAAAAGAACACACCAGAGGGAGAAATAGTACAGAGTGGAAGTTGTCTTTGGAGTGAGTGTGATCAAAAAGAAGACAAGATCTTCAAGTGGTAAGCAGTATCAGCAAGGCTTTCTGTCTCCTCTTGGGCTTATTTTGGATATTAGTGTAGAGGGGTCAACGATGGAAGGACAGAGATTTGTGCTTTCCTATGGGAGAGGATATTGAGTGGGGAACAAAGAGAGGTTCTGTGTCCCATTTACTTTGGGATAAGAAGGAAGAAAATAGTTTTTAACAAAGCAGAATGGTGTTCTGAGATGGATGAACTGTGTCCCCTTCTAGGGCCTGGATTCTAGGAGGAGGAAGCTTGTTGGCCTTGGGAAATGCACAGAATGATCAGTGTGGCCTGGATGGAGGTGGGGTAGGGGGCTGAAGTGATTCTTCAGACTCAGCCACCCAAGTATCTGGGATTACAGACATCCATCACCATGCACAGCTAATTTTTTTGTATTTGAGAGCTGGAATCC